TATCAATTCATATTGCAATTAAACTTTGTCGGATAATGATAAGAATGCATAGTTCTAACTTGAAATACAGAATGTTTCACGAAATTATCTATTGACAATGAATTTGGTAGCCTAAGATTAATAGATCAAACGCACGAGACACTAGCGATAAGGCACAGCAAACTTATTGGTACGATTGAATGATAAAAAAACGGAAGAAGACAGATCGGCTGATTGCGCGTCTGTCACGTGAATGGCAATAGTTTCATTCGAATTCGCGGCTTTGTGAACCGCCGCGGATCTTGGTCTTAGCGCGACTGTCTCGCCCCATTCTCTTCTTGCGGCTCGCGAGGCCCGCTGGTTCCCTTATTGCTCTTAAGCCATATACATGCGGTACCCGCTTCCGGTACAGATGTGTGCGCAGACGAAGGTCGAGATTTGAAACGGCCGATGTCCCTCCGAAGCTCACGAACGTGCCGTCTTCGCGTCGGGATATAATTGGAATGAACGTACGCGCCGCGACGCGATGGATAATCGCGATGTAACCAATGTTTCCTAGAAACGCGGAAATTTTGCCAAATCGATGGAATCGCGATTAGTGACAATTTTACAAGTAATTATATTGAATCATTTTTATTAAATGCTATATAAAATTAATGGACCCAATTAGTGGATGAAATGACAAAAAATTTCAAATATAATATATATATATATATATATTAAGCTTTTAATGATACGTACGACAATAAATTTATAAACAACAAATTTATTTAGAGTCGCACGTATTATTAAAAGCTTACTATTTACATTTGAATCAGTGCCACTGGATAATCTCAGTGATTATCTATTGATTCAGATGTAGAGAGTAATATTTAAAATTTTTGTCATTTTGTCCAGTAGTTGAATCAAGTCCACTGACTGTTTAGTACATTTACTTTATACAATGTTTTTATAAGAATATATTAGTTGTCTTTTCGTGAGAATTTGTAACGAAGAAAAATCTAAATGCAAAGATTTATCCACATTTGTAAAATATTAAAAATTACACTTTTTGAACGCAAGATTTTCTATTTAATAATAACATTATTAAATATATAGTATGTGTGCATGGAATGAATAGTGCAATATATAATTTTAGATGTTTATGTTTTATTAGGTGTATTAATAGAAAATTGGAAATGAAGAAAAGAAGAAACATATAAATTTACTCTTGAAAAAGATATGTCAGTAAAAATAAATGTTGTTGCTATGTAAAAAAATTAATACTAAAAATTGTCAAGTAACAATTTACTATAATTTTACAATTATGTAATTTTATATTACATTAAGATGAAGACATAGATCTCTGCGTTTATCGACAGCTTTGCACTTTACTGCTGCAGGTACTTTGTTCGTTTAGAGGAGCCACGTGTTGGTAGATTCGAAAATTTCTTCCTTTCCGACTTCGTCAATCTGTTCTCGACGTTGTCTTGATGCTGGACAACCACCAAAAAACCAGTTTACAACTCGCAGTAGGATTGGTTTAACCCGATCTGAATAACGATTCAATTAATTTTAGAATTCTTCAAAAAAAATTATATTTTCTGCTGTAATAATTATTATAATTGATTATATTTTTTTTAAATAAACATTTCCAATAAGCTCTTGCATTTTAATGTTGTAATTAAACATATTATTTATGGGAAAGTTATCATCTGGGAAGAATTGTCATCAGAATACAAGATTAAAAGTATAATAATCTTCATAAAAATATATTATATATTACGATTAATTGTAACAATTGTTTTTAAAAATGATAAAAATAGTAAAAAATAATTAAATTTATATCAAAGTATTGTATATTAAGTATTTATCGTGTGATAATCTTTCAAAATAGATTATTTTATTTTCGATTTAATTTTAGTATTGGATTTATTGATCCTACGTCACGTACTATTTGTAATCAATGAATTTTCATAACAATCATGAGTAAAACTTTTTATATCATGAGAAAATCGATGGGTTTTTTTTCCAAGTCCATCATGTCGCTTTGTGAATAGTTTTTCTGTACCTAATAAATTGATAATTTATTTTTATTTAATAACATACGAGTATGAAATGGTATACTAATATAAATTACCATAACGAGAATCCATTTGCTTGTTTATGATTGTCACGCAATCTTTACTTGACTGACGTCGGGAAAGAACTGTAACTTCTTCGTACTTCTGAAAAACGTGATCTTTTAGATTATAAAATTTAAATTATAAAATATAAAATGCTATTTAATTTGAAGAAGAATTAGAATATGATAATTAATTCAGAAATAATAATAATATTATATTTATTACAATATAATATAATGATTGCATGCGCATGTACACATACCATACCATCAAAATTTTGTTTAGTCTGCATTTTTGTGTTAGTATCGATGTTGCTTATGTTCTCCTGTTTTTGGGATGAAGTTTTGAATTTCCTGAAACATTATAATCTCGAAAAATTGTGTTTCTTGCTATAAAATTCTTATTTGCTTTTCTGCAGCTATCACCAATATTTGTTTTTCAAAAAATGAACATAATTTCTCATTAAATTTCAAATTAAATTTTATCGGAAACTTTCGCCATTGATACATTAATATTAATATAACTATATTCTTGATAATCATTGCTTTCGCACATCAGTTTATACTTGGTATCATTTTTATCAATAATTTCTGAAATCGTGCTGGAATCTGCCTTCTTATTTAAAGAATTTTCTTGCTCCGAATCAATATTATTTTGTAATTTATCCGCCGACATTGTGCACGTTGTTTTCAGAATAGTATCCTGTAGGACTATTACATTGTCTTTTTTGCATTTCTCATCGATTATTGTTATCTGCTGTGACTTGTTGCTACAAGTTATTAATACACATATTTTTATTAAGTATATATTCTATAATAAACATTATATTGCATGAATTCTTGTACAAAAGATATAGCTATTCCTAAAAGATACATGCTATTAAACGACCATTTGCATTCTTCATGTATTAACTAAATGAAATTTTAAAGATAAGAACGTAAAAGGTCAAATGAGTGATATGGCGCGGCATGTGTCTTCTTTATCGAAAATGTATAATTTTCGATGTATTAAGTTCAATTTCATCAATAGTCTGACAGTGATATAATTACGTAAGTTGATATGATGATCCTATTTCATATACATACGCGGTTATCATTGCATTGGATTCCGGCAACATATTATTGATCGCATTTTGATGATGACGATTATGTCGATGACGTTCATGTTTTCCACCGATAGTGTGCTTTGCGCGAAATTTCTTACTTTTGTGTTTTCTATATATGAAATTCTTATATATTCTTTATTAGGACATTAATTATTTGCATAATAAAATATGCTTTCATAAGTTACTAGCTGATTTATCTTCGTAAATAGAAAGACTAAGCAAAATATGACTGACCTTATTGATTTATGATTATTGTTATCCAAGTTCGTTTTGTTAATGTATTTTTGACTATTTCTTGTATCTTCCTCGTATACTTTTCTGTATAATTCTTGTATTCTTAGTACTTTACTTTCATTTTCATATCTCGTTTTTATCTTTTCATGTTTAACTTCATCTGTATCTAAGGCAAACTTTAATCCATTTGCAACAGTATCTATCAAGATGCAACATGCTCTTCGAGCATCTAAAAAAGCATATAAAATGTAATATAATTTGTTTATAACATAATTTATTTATACATTATAAGAATTTGTAGTAATTTTTCTAGTTGTTGAATGAATTTAATACACTCCACTTTATTCTTTTCTCTTTATGGTTTAATAAATAATTAAAGCTGAACAAAAATATAAATCTGAAAATCCTGACAAATTTTTCTTTTTAGCTTAATTAAAATATAATATATTGAAACCTTAAATGGATTACTGTAACTAAAAACATAAACGATACAGATTTGTAATATTTTTAACAATAAATTGTGGAAGTTTAAGGTTAGAAAAATGTTCTCGTAATGTAATATTATAATACATAAAATCTTAATTATATCCGAAAGTCAATCAAAAATTATAAACGATGATAAAAATTACAAACGGTGATAAAAGTTCTTTCTTTCTCTCTCTTTCTTTTTTCTTCTCTTTTTTTCCTTTCACTTGACGTTTTTTCCTTTTCTTACTTACATGAACGTGACTTGGGCATGTAATACAAAACGACGCCACACAACATTAACGCGATTAACGAGAGTCGCTTCAGGTAGGTGATCCACTCAAGCACGCAGAATTTCTCGTCGAAATAACCTGATGAGTAAAGAAGGAAGTCACTTGAATGACGAGAGAAGACATCACTTTCTCTTACCATATCCATTTCGCGATTTGGCGTACACGCATTGCGTAGCAAACGCGACGATGAGTACTATAAATTTCATGATAAACGATGATTAGATGCACTTGCTTAAGTATTATTTTTCATTATTATATTTTTATTATTAATCAAGATATTCCGGATAAAAGAGAAAAAGAAGAAAGAATTTGAGTGACACATGCATTCTGAAGCGATGTTCGTCACAACGTAAGAGGCAATTTCACTTCGTTTCACGTATTTCCAGTTATGTTGAACTTACGCCTTAATTATGCTTGATGAACGGCTAATATGGCCGTAAGTCAATAGTTATATCACGCATTTACAGGATTTTCACTTTGTAATTACAGACGTATCGCGTAAAAAGATAATGACACGTGTAAGATTCATATCTTAATTTTTTATTATGCTTTGAGTACTTTACAATATAATACAAAGGAAACATGTCATAAGTATTAACCGTCTTTACTACAATCTAACAAGGGTGGGTTACATGCACGTACACGTACGAGAAAAATATCTCATACGGGTCGATGCGATAACATAGCGTGCGCAAGCGGGGACTCGCACTACTCGCTAATATAGTATTATCTTTCTAAAGCAATATCGCTTCGTGACTTCCGTAACTGTTTGGGGACTACTATCTCCAAAGAGTTCGATCGAACAAGAAACGATACAGCGCCCAGATGCGAACTATCTAAGTAAGAACACAACTTAAAGATATTCTTTACGAAATACTGTTTAATTCGATATAGGTTCTAAATTAAAATTCTAAATTTAAAATTCTAAGTGCGACAAGCCAATAAGAACATTTATTGAACGGTCACTTCTTATCGGCTAGTCCGGGAGAACCACTCAACGAAACTCCATACAGCCACCGTGTGACATTATAATTAATTCGCGAAAGAAGAGAATACTGTACGCTCAAGTTTGAACAACAAATTCTATCGCGATGAGGAATCAATCCCGCGAATTCTACAAGTTCTACAAGACTACGATATAATTTTTAGCTACAACCATCTCGCGTTATAACTTTCGCTAAATAGACTGTACTACGAATTATCGAGACAGATGCCAGTGTCTGCTGGATTAAGTAAATTCATCTATATATAACGTAACGTACTAGCATAATAATACAATATTATATAATAGAATAGAACGAAATAATAATAATTAATAATAATATAATATTTTTGAGAATCTTTCATATGCATGTACGCGCAATTATTGATGAAAAAAGACAATGCTATTCCATTTCCATTCAAAGATAATCTTGTGATATGTATTTCCGCTCATTTGGTGTCTAAGAACAAAAGATTGGACTGTCACAATTTACTTAATTAAGTATACTTAATTAAGTATGATTATCTTGACGAAACGTAATACAAACGCAATACAAGCTGACACGCTTCGCGTGCATCAAAGTAGAGTAACGTCATTGTTTATAATCAGATTCACTGTTTATATTCAGTGCGCGTACACGCATATAACAACGCAAATGAACGACTTTATACACGAAATGAAGGACGAATTACGCAATAAAAATTATGATAATGAGATGATATGCTCCACCGAACCTGGAAGCTGAAGTTTCGATGCAATTCAAAATATATTTTTCTTATTTAAAACAAATAACTCTTTCGCGATGGTCTTATAACTTCCTTAAAATTACTGGTACGCTTTCGAAATGTACCATTAAAAGACTCATTAAGCTCTGTTACAATTACTAGGAAGAACGTTTTTTTATAGTATAATAATTATCTGCTATTCTTTGATAGATTATCGAAAATTATTGTCACCGAAGAGTTTAAAGATTATTTAATTGGCTAAGTGATCGATTTCGAGGTTCGATGGTTCGCAAAAGGAATAATCGAATCATAAACGAAAACGCGGAAGTTTTCATCCTTACGCAAATTGTCTCGCTTTCATTTTATTGACGGCATTCGTAAGGTGGGTCATCTCGGTATTGAGTTGGGAAATCATACCCTCCAGTCTATCAACACTGTCAAGGACTTCGACGCGTTGCGTATGCGGATTGAACCTGACCTCGAATGGTCGGCTCATAGTGGCCACCTGTAAGAGAAACCAAGGTTCATGACTAAGCTCTACCAAAGTGAGAAATAATACAGATAGCGGAAGTGAACAGCTATTAGCTTCCTTTATTTGCAATAAATGAAAATAAAAAATATTAAAGAAATTAAGAACGTAAAAGAGATGACTGGTACTCTACTTTTACGTACGATTTTAATACTTTTGAATTTATCGATAAGTGTACATCTAGAATTGAAAGCAAGAATTGAAAACTTTGTTTGCAAATTGTTGAGAAAAAAAGAGATTTAATTCGAAATTCATTTTACGGGTTAGGTAATACTGAGCATAAAGCATTTACTCAAAACACATTTCATCAAACACATTGGAAATAATTAGTATTTTCGTACTTACCCAACGACGGAATTTCTCCTTGGCATCCTCGAAACTCTCGGCCACATAATATATCGGTTGGTATTCTTGATCTTGATATTTCTGGAGAGCGGTAATTGACGGATCGAAAGCTCGATGTTCGCATTTATCGCTCAATGCGTGCAAGAGTTCACCGTAAGCTGACAACAAGCCAGCACCATAAGCCTTGACTTCAGGACCTTCCTTACATAATCCGAATTCAACCGTGAACCAGTAAATAGTTGATAGCTTCTCGATTTCTTCATCTGAAGCGCCAAGAGACGCTAATCCAATTTCTTGCGAAAATTGAGCGAAACTTGGATCGGCCAAAAGCGGCATATGGCCCAAGAGTTCGTGAATGCAATCTCTGCAAATGAAATTAAAGAAACTTAAAGAATATTGCCACGTGCTTGTCTTAAAATTCGTACTCTTAAATTTATCCATTCTATTTTTCTTTATTCGTTTCATATTTAAATTTATCGCTTAGTTAATTTCAAATGTGAGGATTTGTAATTAAATCATTGCAATTTGCAATATTTAAATGTTTAATTTTACATCGAATTTTACAGTAGAATTTTAATTGCATTAAATAAATTGAACATGCTAAAATTAATTAAAATCCATCAAATAAATGATACGCTCTCTCTCTCTCTCTCTCTCTCTCTCTCTCTCTCTCTCTCTCTCTCTCAAGGAGCTATTCCATTCTTATAATTTGCAAAGCTATCTAGAGTTCTTGGAAATCATACTGTGACGTGGATCGCTACGCGGAGAAACGAGTTCGTAACTGTGGAACTGAGTTATCAACGCCATCGTGTCGTTAAAAGCCAATTAGAGTTCCATTACGAGCTTAGAGAGGCACAGTAATTCTATTATCATCGTTCTCTGTGTAACACCGGGTGCAGATTCCCGTCATAACGCAATATCGATTGCCTTACAGTTTGACATGGAGGGACAGCCATGATGCGGAGCCAGAGCGACCTTTACAATGTCCGATTTTTATGTAAAGATGCTTTGCAGCTTTATGCCTTCGAAGCGATATTTTATCGAGTCTCATTATGAACTAGTCATGTACAGTATGTTCTTTTTATCTATATACTTTACAGCTTATGCCGAATAAAATGGCATGTTCAATATATTTAAATTTAATATTTATCCATTTTTTCGAATAATCTAAACGTAACAGAAACGTTGAAAAAAAGTGACTACTCTATTCGAATAATTATTTGTTGATCCCGATAAATTCGAACAAACGAAAGTAAAAAAATGATAAAAATTAGAAGCACTTACGGTTCGGGAGTGTGATACGGGCTGTTGATATGGCGGACATATTGGGTGCTCTGGAATATTCTGAAGGCAAGACTGGACAAGAAGTCCCGCGCTGTCAAGAGACCGGCGGCCGGTCGAAGAGTGAATCCCGTGCTCTTCTTCAAGAAATCGCTGACTTCCTGCAACTGTGGTATACGGTGAGACTCGAAGATCCTCTCCTCTTGCAATTTCTTGAAGACTCTCTGGTATTCCATGCACGCGTGTTTCGGCACCAGGTCCAACACAGTGTTGAAGACGCGCGACCAAGTTTCGTTTTCTGTCTCGGTGTAAGGAATAGAAGGTATCGGGTCGCCGTACTTGTAAGCGAAAGCAATTTCGGCAATGACCTTGCGACGAGCGCGATACTCTTTGTCGGCGAAGCCTGGATGATTCATGTCGAGATCCGGCTCGTACTTAGTCATTAGGTGGTTGCAATTGTCGAGATCGGAGGCGTGACGGGGAAACCAGGGATCTTTGATGCTGACGGAATTGTCGGCGAGCAGGTTTACGCCGTCCAAGGCCGAGCTTTGTCGTAGATTTCTAATCAACTGCAACAGACTCTGTCTGCTCATGTCAATCTTGACCAAGACCTCGAACTGCAGACCCTCCTTCTTGGAGGGCCGTGACTCGACATGAGTGATCGTGCCCTTGAAATTTTCGATTGTCTTTAGGATCCTGCCTAGAGAGCCGATACCCTCTCGCAATCTCAATACCAGCGCCGCTTTCTGCACGTTCTGCTCGCTATCCGGAGATTCGGCTATAGTTTTCGCGAGCACTACTTCCTCCTCGGTTAATCCGGCATCTGTGAAAAATCGAACATCGTCTAGCTCTTTTGCTTGATAATGACATCAAACATTTTTCTAAATGAACTCGAATTATCCGTCAAATAATTTTTCTTAAGATTTCTCTTAAAAAGACATCTCTTAAAAAGATTTTCATTTGCAAAGTAACATTGTTCTGTGGGACACTAGAATAACTTATTCGTGTACAATATTAATATAATTAAAAAAAAATTAAAATAAATAACTTTAATCTACGTCACACAACTCGTCTTTACATCTCGGCTATAAATCATAATTTGCAATTCGTTATTTGTTGCCACACTCTTAATTTGACAACTCAACATTAACAACGATTCGCGAATTTTTTCGACTAAATAAGACGAATAGTTCTTTGTTCTTCTATTTGTCTTGATCTATCGATTGAGAAATCAATACGTGTTATACAACTCGTTTGGTTAGACGACGAAGAAAACTCATACAAATACGGTTAGACGGAAACATAAACCAATGTCGGCCTTCTCGATCAATTATTAAAGACACTCTCGGTATATGTCGCGTGATCGAAATAATGAATTATCCGCAGGAAATGCGCGACATCATTTATTTCACAGTTTTATGTAGATTTGACATTTGAGAAAATATGTACACGAGCGTTTTGATAATAGATAAAATAAGAAAAGCGCAAATTCGACTTATAAAACTTTCCCAGGAGCGATTCTTTTTAGGCATGATTTCTTGCAAGTACCCTAAGTGACTTCCGCGGTAATAATCGGGCAATTCAAAGTCCATTTTCGCATAGCGCTTTGCCGTCACGTCGGAAACGGTACCATCTACTTGGTCGCGGGGGCGGCGGAAAAGTGGTAAAAGTAGCCGTCATTGTCGCGGACGCGGACGTGCCGGTGAGATGGAAGGCAACGCGAAAAGGAATAACCGTGTTACACACACACACACACACACACACACACACACACACACACATTTACTGCGGCCACGCAGGGTCGCTTGTGAAATCTCGAGAAAGGCTCTGCTCCGGTAATACGATTCTAAATGCACAAAGCGGCTTCGGGGGGCGAAGACGGGTTGGAAAAAGACGGAAATAGCTCGGAGACGTAATTCACTCCAAGTGTCGGCCGAGCACTCGCCCTAGTCGACTGTCGACAATGGCGATCGTTTCACCCTCCATTTATCGTTACCTTCCTATCTTTCCATCGTATACCACGTCACGTGCGTACCCTCTTTGCACGCAATCACCCACTTCCTGTCTTACTTTTATTGCGCAATGTGACATTTTGCTAGAACTGGACGCAATTATGATCAAAGGAACAGAAGATGTACGTACCATCATCGTCATCATCATCCGGTTTTCCATCACTGTCTGATGAAGCCTCCGCTTTCGCTTCTGAAAGTTACAAGTTCCGTGCTCATGCTATATATATATGCAACATTTATGCATTCTTGAATACTTGGTGGCAGATGCATTTGACGTCAATCAATTTCACATTATACATATTATGCACGGGGATATAGTAAACATTATAAATATTATGCACGAGGATTGTTACTACGTTAAATAAAGTTATCTTAATTATATTAATGATGGTACTCAATGCAATTATGTCCTATGCATATCACGCCTCCAATTATATATTCAAAGAACGTTATAAATTTGACAACATCTAGATACAAACCTTCCTCCTGCACTGCGCAAACTAATGATTCCACCTGTTCATCATCACTTGATGAAATGTCGATGTAATTATCTTCTTGTCCTTTTTTCTTAGTACAAGTAATTGTCTGATCCGCGTTCGTATCTATTCGATAACAAAGAAACACGTCATGCATTAACATGAGCATGCATATACATATATTACATACTCCTCTCTGCGCTTGTACAGCGTTAGCAAAGGGATATGTTTCATTTTTAAGATCATAATCTTTTATACAGTAAATCATGCGTATATATAGCAAATAGAAAAATATACATATCTATACATATCTATACGTCAAACATTGATGCGGTAATGGAGATTATATACTCGTATATGATAGTAAAAAGAATTAATCATGCCAGACATTCGTAAGACTTACCATTCGCTCGTTGTCGAGCTTCCTCGAGTACACTCTGCTTCGTCTGTTTGACGACGAGCGTTTCAAAACGGGCATCGTCTACGAGGGAACGTCGTCGCGCTGGATACCCGTTCTAAAAATATAAATTAAAAGTTCGATTTATATAAAATATCATAATACATTAAATTAAACCTGTAGAAAATTATGATAAAGTAAATTAATAAGAATATTGCTAAAAATATCTATATCATTTCTGTAATTAAATTCTAAGCACTGATGTACTGTTCTATTGTATTTTATTGCTGATGCACGAGCAATTATAGATAGAACTTTAAAGGGCGGATGTCCTTTCGTCTTGAGTCAAGTTCCGTTTTGTGTGTCTGCTCGTGGCCTTTGAGACGTGAGACGAAACGGAAATCTAACTCGTCAATTCGACCAAGTGTCACTTAAATCGGGTAACGAACAAAAGGCATGGAAATGAATTTTCGCGACTTCCGTCCTGCTCTGTCGTTGAAGTATAGGAAATGAATTAATTCTATCAGAGATGTAGAAAGGAGCTTGAGTATCAAGCTCAGTTCTTAAAAGGAGATAAATTTTATTTTTCTTATTGCTCTCTTAGTTAATATACTTTTGCTTGCTTTTTGCAATTTGATGAAAA